CATCTGAATTTCTTCTTCAGACAAAAGGCCTGAAAGAACAGGAACACACAGACTGCTACAAGCTGCCTTAATACCGCCTTTATTTCTGTCTGAGGGCAAGGAAATTGTCGCTGAGATTGGACAGTCCATAGTCTCATCTCTGTTTTTGTTTTGGTTTTGTTTTGTCGTTTTCCCCCTTCTTTATAAATCTCTCCAGCAATTGGGTAATGGTGATCCAGACCCTAAAATTATGAGAAGCACAACTAGTTTCTGTCATTGAACGTTGGTTTTAACTGCAGCGATGGCAGGAGCATTTGGGAGTTAAACCAGCTGCTCAATTTATTTTATTTTTTTTTTAAATAAGGTTCATCTTGTTGTGTTGACGCTCCAGTTGGCATCACTACAGCTTGGCCTTTTACTTTCAAAGCTCTGGAAATGCACAGAAGTTTCCTGTGTCTCAGAACTGAAGCCCCTGCGTGTGGTAGTTCTGCCAATATCCCTGGCCTTCTTCCTCTCTGGTTCATCAAACCAGTGCATTAACGGTGGTTTTGTGGAGGCAAAGACACCCGAAATGGCCCAGCCCCTAAGTACCTGCTGACAGTTTTGTATTTCCCAGTGTATCTGTGTGCTCTGGATGGGATTAGCCCCTGCAGTTTGCCTTAATCTTTGTTGAAGAGAGGTGGGGAGGCAGGTCATGGTCTTCTGAAACAGGATCTACAGGTTGGGTTCCTTCACTGAGTTTTTAGGAGCACCAAAGGGATTTGGGTGCCAAAGACCATGAGCACCTAAATCACTTGGGTACTTCTGAAACTGCCCGTAACCCATCCCTTTTTAGGATCCCAGAGAAATAACGTGAGTTTTTGGAAGAGCTGAGCTCCCAGTAGCCCTGCAAGAGGAAGCAGAGCTGTTGGACCCACAGCACTTCTGAAAAATCGCATTAGTCTGGTCTCAAAGCCAAACCTGAGGCTTCTTTTTTTCTTCCCCATAAATCTTGGTTTGCAGAGTCCTCCCCGTGCAGCTTCTGTCTCAGGCTGCAGAGCTGCCCCATCCCTCAAAACAGCGCATTTTATGGTGAGGGTTATAAGCCTGGTTCAGTGATTTCCATGAGCTGCTGCAGTTGCCTGTGGCTGCCCTGTCCCTACAAGCCGTCGGGGTCTGATTGGGGCAGGGGAGCCCCGCAGCCATAGATGTGGTTTTGGAAGGCAGCCCTGTGGAGATGCCTTTCTAATCCCTCCTGGGTACTTTGGCTTGTGCTTAGAAAGGGGTGAAATGAGAGGAGAAAGGCAGAAGGTGTGCGGTTCACACGCCAGCCTGGATCGGACCCAGTGTTTGCCTCCCATGGTCAGCACAGGCGCCCTGGCAACCCATGGAAATAGTGGCAAGGACTAAAAAAAACCTTACCAGTGTGTGCTCCTTTACAGAGAGATTTACTGAAGTCATCTTGTTCGCTGAAAAGCCTATCCCAAATTTATTTTCACTTAAATTGAAACCTAAAACAAAAGAGAGAGAGAGATTGACTGTGCTCCCTGCAAAATTGTATCTCGCTTCAGTATCTCGCTAGGTGAAATGACCCTAGAGTAGTGCAAAATTTTGGAAACTTAAATTTTTAGTTTCCCAACGTGAAGAAGCTGGCTTGAGTTCAGGGTGCAGATGCCTCTGCAGCTGGCATTTCTAGGAAGCGCGCTCTGTGCTTGCAAATCCCACCTGCTGCTGCCCAACACCTTCATTTATCCATTCGGTTCACACCCCTGTTTGCGATTCCAGGTTGGTCCCAGTAAGTGGTCTGTGACTACCGGGGGTCTGGGAGGGGAAGGGGCTCATCTTGCAGATATTTATATTGTATAGAGCAGCTTATTTCTACAAGAAAAAAAAACGTTTTTAAACTCCAACAAAGTATACAGTAGTTTCAGTTCCGGTTTTTGTGACCTTTTTCAGGGATCATTTCAGTGCATTTCTGTACAAAATAAAAATTTAAGGAAAAAAGGATTTTGAAGTATATTAAAAAAAAAGCATCTTCTGTACATAGGCAAACTCAAGAATCTTCTCTTCAAACCCTGTTTCTTGTAGAAACATGTTGAAATTTTTTTGCTGATTTCTTTGTACTTCAAGAGCATGTAAATAATTTATTAAAAGTGACTATTGTAATTTGGAGTTCTTTTTAAACAGATTCCAGCTCTAAATCATGTTGAGGAGATGGGGAGGAAGAAGGACTAAGTATAGCAAAGGAGCTGGTGGCATTTACAGCTTGTGTCAAGCTTTGTATAATGTAAATTCTGTATAAATATGTTTTTTGTCAAATAAATACATGGAATTAGAAGCATTAAGAAACTGAAGACAAAAAATTGCCAAGTCAAGAAATCCCCCCCCCCCCCCCAGTCTGAAACCTAATGTGCAAAATCTATTTATTTCAAGCGAGGAAATGTGTACAGTCTAATAGACAACCTAAAATGTATTTAAGCGAGTTTGCAACTGGATTTTTTCAATTTAATATTTGTTTTGTTTTTATGAGTTTCCTCCTTAATTGCCACTGTAGTATTTGTCCAAGTGAAAAGAAACACATCGTAACGGACACTCTAAAACAAATGGGCAGTTTTAAAAGCAAAACGGAAGAACACCCGGCTCCCAATCCTTGCAGTTTTCTGGTTCTATAAACAGGTTGTTTTAATTCACAGTGTGAAAATAAAAGGCCTTCTTTAAAAGGAGGTAGGTAAAATGGTTTGCAATAAATGAAAAAAAAAAAAAATCTTATTTTTTTTCAAGTTCCTTAAAAAAACAACTCTGCTTTGAAGATTTAGGATTTCTGCTTTTTCTTTCGTTAAGCAAATTTATAAATTTAGGGATGTTTTGTGCATATAGAATCTGTCACCAGTATGTATCTTGTTTTGAAGAAAGTGTTTTTGTTGTGGATGTGTCATGCTGTATATATTTGTTCATATTTTTGTGAATTGAATACTATGTACCATTGTATTATAGTAACTTTTATAAAGCAAACCATAAATATACTGACTTTTCTTACAGAAAAATTATGTTGTGCTTAATGTATAGCCAGGGCAGCTTTTTGCTCTCAGACCTGTGCTGGGAACCGTGAGAGCCCAAGGAACCAGATCCAGAAAAAGAGCAGTCCAAAGAACTGATTTTCAGCAGAGTTTAGTGAAAATATTAATTCTGGTGAGCAGGAAATTACTTTAAGCAACATTATATTGCATGAAAGAAATACGTGAGTGATGTAAGTTTATAAACTTAAAGAAAATTTTCTTAGTATTAAAAATCCTTACAACCCTTATGAGCTGAAGCACAGCCAGGCGCTGGCCCCCCTGCCGCAGTGCCGGGTGTCCCTAACGTGTCCAACCTCAGTGGTGCGTCCTGGGCAGGTGAGGGGTCCTGCTCCTGCAGCCTCTGCCCTGGATTTTTTGAGTTCACTTTTTTTTTTTTTTAAACTTTATGGAGGTGAAAGCCCTTAACCCACGAAGCGAGGTGTTAGTGTTGCTGGTTCGGGTGATGTTGTAAGGCTGTTGGGGCCAGAGGCCCTTTGGTTTTCTTTTAAATCAGTTTATTCAAATCTGAAATGAATTCTGTTACCTGTGGTTTACAGGAGGGGGGAGCTGCTGAGATTTGGTGCGGCTGAAAGTACAGCCTGGAGCCGGCCGTGTGGCCCCCACCCTCCCTCGCTGGGGACTGCTGCTGCTGTGAATGTGGTGGTGGTCAAAGCGGCTTCTCTGAGCTTTAGAAACAGAGATACCTGAAGCAGAGGCGAATGGAGTGGCTGATGGAGGAGGAAATGGAAGAGACAGGAGAGAGCCTGGGCTGTAGGTGGCTTCCCAGCTCAGTTCTTGGCTTCTATAGCTGACCACGGCAGCTGAAGGGGTGGGGATGCCAGGACAGCCAAACCTTGGGCTGGCGCGGGGCAGAAGGCAGCAGGGCTCAGCCTGGAGGGTGGCCGGATGGGGCAGGGGCTTGGGCTGGTGGAAGGACTTGTGTCCGAGGAGCTTGTTCTGAGCTGAGGGCTTGGCAGGGGCTTTGGCCACTCGGGGTTTGAGCAGCTTTGATGCTGGGAAACTTGGGGAGTGGCAGTGGGTGCACCAGGGCTTTGGAGGGCAGATGTGCAACAGTGGGGAGACCTGGGGACACCAAAGACCCTGAGATGTTCTTCAGCAGTCGTGTACTGAGGTCTGTGGACTTCTCAGGGAGCCTTTGACCTGCAGCCACAGCGAACATGGGGTAGAGGGGCTCCAGCCCTGACACGTTAACTTACCAGGCACTCAAGCTGTGACAGAAAAGGGTTTTATTGTGTTGGTGGGGAAAGTCCCCTTGCAAAGGACAGTGACAATACCAGAGTGATGCCCAGAGGGGATCTGAGCCAAGGAATTGCTGCCAATGCCAACAATTACTTCTTGAAACACGGGAGAAACCCCAACCCTTCATTAATTCAGGTATTAGAGCAAGACTCTGTTGCCTTGGGAAGGCTGAAATCCATAAATTCAATTAAGTCTCATTACAGAATGTTGTAGCTACCCTAAAACCATGTGTTTAATCTCAGCAAATTCAAATTCAAGATTGAGTCTAAAAGCGATTAAAATAAAATCTTACAAAATGAGATGCAGAGAGAGGCAAACGCCTCCGTGATTTCCTCTCCCAGCTTCCTGCGTAGCTAAAATTAACAGAAAGCTGGATAGACTAAATTTAAGCACTCCCAGTTGTTTCTTGTGTCTTCCTCCGTAGCTGCGTGTCTTTGGCACATGCCTTAAATATGCCCTTTAAGAATTTGGTGGTTTGGGTCAGATTAAACTGCTTTTTAAGAGCGTGTTTGCTATTTCCCACACTCCCTCTCCCAAGAAGTCACCGGAGGGCAGCGCTAGGGCTGGATCGGGAAAGGTGTTGAGTCTTTTTACATCTCCAGCTTGGCAGCAGCTTCCCTGGGTTTATGACACTTAGGTCTCAGCTATTTACCAAAACATCAGCTCCTTCCTGGTTCGTTTGTGAATCAGCTTGTTAGGGGCGAGGGCGGCATTTTCTGCCATCCTTTAGATGCGCTTGGTCTCCCCGTTGGGCTCCAGGATGGTCAGGTTTCCTCTTGCATCTTGATCTATTTCTATTGCTTCAAACAGAGACTTGAAGTTCCCAGCTCCGAAGCCCTGCAGAGACGACAACGTTACAGACCATGGGGACGGGCAGCGGGTTTGTCAGCTCGGAATCGACGGGAAAAGAGCAGCACTGAGAGCTGGCTGGGTGACAGTACTTGATGGCCCTGAGGTCTCGAAGCCAAGATTGTTGTGAAATCCTCAAACCAACCTGGTGGTTATGCCGCTGGATGACCTCCAGAAAGACCGTGGGTCTGTCTTGAACTGGTTTGGTGAAGATCTGGAGCAAGTAGCCTTTCTCATCAAAATCCACCAGGATTTTCAGTTCCTGGAGAAAAGAAACAGGGTGACAGCTTGAAGACCCACAGAGGAGCAAGGGGATCCCTCTGCATCACCCTCATCCCTGCAAAACACTTTGGGGAGCCGCCGGTCCAGCCCTGGGCAAACCTTTTCCCTCTCAGGCCAGTCTGACTCACCGCCAGCTTATCAATGTTCTCCTTCACTTTGATTTTGGCAGTTTTCAGCCTCTCCCGCAGCATCTGGTAGTAGCTGGATGGCACGTCCATGAACTGCATGCCCCGCTGCTTCAGGTTGGTGATCTACAAGGCAGGGGAGACCTCAGCGTGGGTCAGGCTTGGGACTCATTTGTGGAGCGGTTTTTGCCAAGAGGATGGCCTGGGACAGACGGTGTCAGGAGGCAGTGATACTTTCCCATGACATTGGCCTGTCCCACCCTCTCTCTTTGGGCACCAGGAATGGGAGGGCCCAGGATGCCCTCTCCAGGCAATGCAGAGAGTTGGCCACCGTGAAAGGATGCTTCATCCCACCCTGACCCCCCAATACCTCTGGAGGCCCTTTGGTCTGGAGAGGAGTCCAAAACCAAGTGCTCAACAGCAGCTGGGCTCAATCCAGACCAGCATCTGCCCCAGGCAAAGGTGGGTGATGTGCTATGGTGGCTCAGCCCAGCAGCCCGGGCTGCCCGAGCTCCCCACCAGCCACCCCCCAAGGACAGCACGTGCCATCGGGGTCCCTGCAGACCCCAATGCTTTAAGCTGGAGGGACGGGCATCTGCCAGCAGCTCACAGGTGCAGGCAGGTCCCTTTCCAGTGACTCGCTGGGCAGTTAATCCTGGTTGTAAGACAACCACGGCACAAAGCCCGCTCAGCCTGCCCGTGTCCTCGTACCCCGACAGGGGTCATAGTCCACCACCGCCCTGTGATGAGGACTCTGCCTGGTGGAACGGGGCAGAGGCAGAGCAGTGCCGGGGCAGGACGGGCTGGGGCAGGGAGCTGCCCAGGGCTGCACTCACTGCCGAGATGATGTCAGAGGTGTTCAACGCGATGTGCTGGACTCCGGCCCCTCCGTAGTAGTCGACGTACTCCTACAGGGAAACGATGTCACTGCGTTAGTGACAGCACAGCTACAGCGTGCAAAAGGCTGGGCGTGGGCTTAAAAACATGAAAGTAAAATCAGCTCGGGGACACCATGAAATGAAAAAAAGACACTAGTGGTGAGATCAGGGGTAAACTGGCTCTGTCCCCATGGCTCCCCCAGGCTTTGACAGCCCTTGGCAGACCTGAGCAGAGCCAGGGTTGCTTTCCAGCAGCCACCTTAGCACAGCACGTCTGCGCCGGCTGCGAATCACTGACCCCTTCGTCCCTTTTCCTTCACCAAAGCCCCGCTCAAGGCGATGGCAGCTTGATGGATCAACCACCGGCATCCGCTCACCTGAATCTGGGATTTCTTCTTGCCGAGTGCTGGCTCGTTGATGGGCATCTTAATGGTCTCTTCGTAGTTGGTGACCACAATGGAGCGCAGGGCACTGAACTCCGTGTGCAGCTGCTTGTCATCCACCGACCAGAAGCGGTGGAAGAGCAGGTTCTTCTGGTACCTGCCCAGGCCACAAAGGGCACGATCAAGTCCCTTGCTCCATCCCTGCACTAATGAAGCTCTGCTCTGGCTTAATTAGCCTCAGCCACCACCATCGGAAGCGGTGAGACCAGCAGGATGGTGCTGCTGCTCCATCCCACCTCCTGCCAGCCCTCCCCACTCTTACCAGTCCGCCACTGGGACCATCTGGAGGTCGGGCTGGTTCCCCACGACGTGGTCGATGAAGTTGAGCTTGGCGCTCGATCTGGGGGGGGAAGCCGGGGGTGGCTCTCAGCTGGGCTCGGGGGCACCCCACAGCGCGGGGGGCTTCAGGGCGAGGCAGCGGGGACCTGTCCATTCCTCAGTGGGATATCCCACTGGCACACGGTAGGAAAGAGCCAGGCAAGACCCTCTGGAAAGTACTCACAGCTTTGGCAGCAGGGGGTCCTTGAAGAGGGGCGGGTGGTACCCGGGTAGAAAGAGGCCCTTGTAGTTGAGCTTCTCTATCAAGGTGTGGGTGGTGTCACCGTACTGCGAGAGGGGGGAAAGCGGTTCCATGCTGGCCCTGTTTTTTCAGGGACCTCCCAGGTCCAGCCTGCTCCCGCGGACCCTGCTCCAGCGCGGGGGCTCAGCCTCCGCAGCTGCCCTGCCTCTTACCGTCTGGATCACTGCAAACTTCACCTTCCCGAATTTGTCCTCCTCCACCCAGGGTTCCTTCACCACCACGGCTCCGCGCTCCTTGGCTTTCTGGGCAGAAGGAAACAGACACCCTCCTGCCACAGCTCCCCCGGGCTGGGGGGAGACGACCCTCGGCCCTTCCCCACCTCCCCTTGCCATTTCAGGGTGCCGTGCAGGAGGGAGCAGAGGGGCTGCCTACCTGCACGATGAAGTCGCAGTCCTCCACTTCGAAGGCAATGTCCTTCACCCCATCACCGTGCTTCACCAGGTGCTCCCCCATCTCTGCCCAGAGCAAGAGCAGCCACGGGCATGAGCAGAGGCGTTTTGCTCCGCCATGGCCCTTTCCCACACCATGTCCCCCCACAGACCCCCGTGGTACCTACCCTCATTCCCTGGGTTGAGAGCAGATGAGAGAACAAACACGATCTGGCAAGGAAGAGGAGGACAGGTGAGGGATGGAGACGTGGCAGTGCCCCCAGGCTGGGGCAGATGCACTGCAGGTGCAGGGTTTAATGGTGCAAACAGATTTCGGCAGCACCTGCATGCCCGACACCGCCTCGTCTTCCCCCGACCTCCACCCTGGTGGTGGCACCTCTGCAAGGTGCTTCAGCCCCCTTACCTTGTCCTGCTTGATGGCATGTGAGACCACCTCCCTGCTGCCAGTCTCCAGCCCCCGGTACGCCAGCTCTTCGAACCCCAGCTTGTTGCAGTAGTAGGATGCAGCCTGCGGGCACGCGAGAGCCGCCCCGGGTGAAGCTGCGGTGCTGGTGGCCCCTGGTTCCTGCAGAGCTCCCCCCAGCCAGGGCAGCGCCAACAGCCCATGGGGAATGGCCACCGCAGCGTGTGCGCGTGTGTGTGCGTGTGCAGGGAGCAGCCAAGCTTTTCTGCTTCCCTCCAGCAGCCCGCAGGAGCAAGCAGAGGAAAGAAAGGGCCCATATTGGGGAAAAAAACCCCAAACTCAGCGGGAAGCACTGCCTCCAGAGCCCTTCCGCACCCAGTGCAGCCAGGGACAAGCAGGGCACAGTGGACGCAGGGCTGGTGCACAGCAGGGCAGCAGGCAGGGAGCCGCTGCTGAGGGGGAAACGTTTTTGCCTGTCTCCTGTTCATCTGTGAGGTTGTGCGAAAAGCAGCTCAGGTTTGAAGCAGAGGGATTTTTAACTCGCCAGCGGCCTTTTAGCAGCGAGTGATGGAGAGCTGCTTCCATGATGCCCTATTGGTCTGCAGGCTGGGGACCACGGCTCGAGCCCTGCCTCGTGCCGGTTTGCATTTTCCGGGCTCCTCCCGCGCACACCCCCGGGCAGCCGCCCCTCACCTTGCGCAAGGGCCCCCAAGGCCATCTGCCGAGGTCACGCCGGTGGGCAAAGG